AATAGAGAATAGAATATGGAATAGAGAATATAAAATAGAAGAGAATAGAGAATAGAATAGAAAATAAAATAGAGAATAAAGAATATAGAACAGAATAAAATAGAGCAGAGCTGGCAGGGACCTCAGAGGTCTTCTAGTCCAGCCTCTGCTCAAGCAGGACACTCCATACCATTTTAGACAAATGATTGTTAGTCTCTTTTTAAAAACTTCCAGTGATGGAAGCACCCACAACCTCTGAAGGCAAAATGTTTAATTGTCTTCACTGTCAGGAAATTCCTCCTTAATCCCAGGTTGCTTCTCTCCTTGATGAGTTTCCACCCATTGCTTCTTGTCCTGCCTTTCAGGTCCTTTGGAGAATAATTTGACCCCTTCCTCTTCTTTGGGGCAGCCCCTCAAATACTGGAACATTGCTATCATCTCACCCCTAATTCTTCTTTTCTTTAGACTAGCCAGACCCTAATCCTGCAAACGTCCTTCATATGTTTTAGTCTCCAGGCCTTTGGTCATCTTAGTTGTTCCTCTCTGAACTTTCTCCAAAGTCTCAACAATTTTTTTTTAAAATTTTGGTAATATGGTGACCAAAATTGGTTGCAGTATTCCAGCTGGGGTCTTATTGAGGTTTTGTAAAGCTTAATTAAGGTTCATTAGGAAAATTCACATTTATGGTTCTGGAAAATCACCCTTGCAGAAAAGCGACGGGTGGGTTTCAGGTTGACTACCAGGTTGAGAAACACCTGGATGGGTGGATTTCAACTCCCAGAATTCCCCAGCCAGCTATGCTAGGCTGGGGGATTCTGGGAGTTGAAGTCTAACTGTCTTAAAGTGGCCAAGGTTGAGAATAGGCTGAAAAACAGCTTCTATCCCAGGGCAGTAGCTCTGTTGAATTCTACTGTCTAGTGCAGTGTTGGTGCGATGTCGTGGGGGGTTTATCAATTCAATGCGCGGAGGGTGAAGGATGTGTGTTTGCGTTGATTTTCATGGTCATGATGTGCATTGAAGATGGTGTTTGATTTCCTCGCATGAGGTGCAATGACGATATAGTAAACTAAACTAAACTAGTCCTTCTCATCATTAAACTAGACGCATCCAATGCCTGCCACCGCTCTACATATGTTTTAGAGCCTCCGGTCTCCTAATCCTCCTGGTTGCTCTTCTCTGCACTCTTTCCAGAGTCTCAACATCTTTTTCTATATCGTGGCGACCAAAACTGGATGCAGTATTCCAAGTGTGGCCTTACCGTGGCCTTATAAATTGGTATTAACAATTCCCGTGATCTGGATGCAGCCGGGGACTGCATCGGCTTTTTTGGCAGCTGCAGCACCGCGAGATGCCATGTGGGAAAATGGCCCCGGATTGCCAAAACCTCCCATTTCTTTTCCTTTTGTGTCCTGTCTTCATTCAAACCTTGGTTTGTTTTTTTTTTCCATGTGGGGAGGGCGTCTCGTGATGGGATGGTTTTGTGGGGTTCTCGCAATTTGACGGATTGAAATCCCTGCGAAGCCGCCGGCCGTGTGAAAAACCAGAGTCGGCTTTGAAAAAGAGAGCGATCTGTCAGATTGGCAAGCAGAGCTAACTGCAGTCATTAATCTTGGGGGGCTGTTGTTTTGTTGTTGGGACGAGGTTGGGCGGCCGTCTTTAAAGGGGGCCGTCCTGCTGTCTGGGAGCCATCTGACCCCCGCCATTTTTCATCTCGCGAGGAAGCAGTTCCTGGGGGTTCGTGAGCCCCTTAGAGACTGTTTTTTGGTGGGGGGGGAGGAATGAAATGTATAGCGGTCCTCATCTTAACGACAGTTCACTTAGTGACCGAAGTTACAACAGCACTGAAAAAAAGTGACTATTTTATTTTATTTTATTTTATTTTATTTATTTTATTTTATTTTATTTTATTATTATTTTATTTTATTTTATTTTATTTTATTTTATTTTATTTTATTTTATTTTATTTTATTTTATTTTGTTGCGTTGCATTGCATTGCATTGCATTGCATTGCATTGCATTGCATTGCATTGCATTGCATTGCATTGCATTGCATTGCATTGTATTTTATATTTATTGAATTTATATTGCCGCCTATTCACCTGTGGTGACTTGAGGTGACTTACAGAATGTCAAATCATATTTAAAATTAAAAAAAAAAACAATAAAAACTAACAAAAAGAATCAAATCAATAAAGTGCAAGAGAACAAAATCTGGGGAAAATCAATCAATCAATCAATCAAATCAACCCCCAACTCCACCCCCACCCTGTCCCCACGACAGTAGATCACACGAGCCATTTGATGGTATCCATCCTGTGCTGGGTTAACAGATAACAGATTATCAGAGTTGGAAGGGATCTTGTAGGTCATCTAGTCCAACCCCCACCCACCCAAGCGGGAGACCCTAGATCATTTCTGACAAATGGCAATCCAGTCTCTTCTTGAAAGCCTCCAGGGATGAAGCTCCCACAACTTCCAAGGGCAACTTCTGTTCCATTGATTGATTGTTCTCCCTGTCAGAAAATTCCTCTTTATTTCCAGGTTGAATCTCTCCTTGTTCAGTTTCCATCCATTATTCCTTGTCTGGCCTTTGTGTGCTTTGAAAAATAGCTTGACCCCCTTCCTCCTCCTCTCTAGGGCAGCCCCTCAAATATTGCAAGATGCTCTCCTGTCTCCCCTGGTCCTTCTCTTCCCTAGACTATCCAGGCCCAGTTCCTGCAACCGTCCGTTGTATGTTTGAGCCTCCAATCCCTTCATCATCCTGGTTGCTCTTCTCTGCACTCTTTCTAGAGGCTCAACATCTTTTTTTATAGTGTGGTGACCAAAACTGACCAAACCATGAAAATCCAACAGTCTTGCTGTTAATGTTTCACCCTGTGCTATAGCCTGCCAGCGGCTACTGGAGCTGGCGGCAGACTTGGAGGTTGGCGAGGAACATGGGCCAGTCCTGGAGTCTCGGGAAGGCTCGGACGAGGGCTCTGCGTCGGAGGCAGAGATGGGGACAGGGCCGTCTAACAGTTATCAGCTGCCTTTGGAGTCAGAGATCAGTGGGGAAGAAGAATAGTTGGAGCCTGTTCCCGATGTGCGCATGCACAGAGCTGCCAGGAGAAGGGAACAGTTAAGGAACAAGGGTCGACTCGGGAGTAAATACACAGCTGGACAGTGAATGGCCCTTCCCATAGGGAATAAAGAGGAGCGAAAGGGGCGTGGTACTTTTTAGGAGACAATTAGTTCAATCCATTAGGGTGAAGATCCGCTCCTGATTTCTTGCCAAGTAATTGCTGCTACAGCGTGGCGTTTGGAAGCTATCGGCCTGACAACTTTCCAAACCTGATAAAGGTCTGCAGTTGTGAGTTCTCATGAAAGACTGTTTGCCGGGACTTTGCTGGAGGGGAACTGCCCTTTCACCTAAATAAAAGGGGTTTTATCGGGACGAGGAGTCGGCTTCATCATTTTGGGAATCCTGCGCCAGAACAACCGCCTTCACTTCAGGGGACATGGCTCCCACAACTAAACCGCCGCTGCGGGAATGGGCCTGAAATCCAGTCCTTCCTCACCTACCGCTTCCCCGATAAACATGCAAGACGCAAGGTGCCTTTCCAACGGTGCACACTTTGTGCAAAGAGAACCTTCCATTTCTCTACTGTGTCCCGTCGTAGCCATGGCGTCTCTTAAGTTACCGGCCCCTGTTGTTTTCCATTCGTTCCAGCCCAATCTGTCCCTTGCAAGATTGATTTGCGCAAAAACTCCTTTGAATCGGGAGCGAATCGAGGAGAAGCTGGACAATGCCCAGCCAGCGTGAAAAGGCTAGGAGAAAGAACAATGAGAAAAAGGGAACATTCCTCTTGGAAGTTTGCAGAACAGCTGCCTTCGCCTTGGAGACGTGGTTCTCGGGGATTTAGGATTGGATACGTGGCGAAAATCCACCCTCCGGTGGACCTCCTAGAACGGCAGTCTGCAGCTTGGAGCTCGGGAGCCACGTTCTCATCCCTCTGTTGCGGCTCCCCGTCGCTCAAAACATGCATCACAACCGCCGGTGTGCGACACCTGCCAGCATGCGATTTTTTAAGGTTTTTTTTTAAACCTATCTTTTTTTTTTTCCGGAGTTCGAAATGTTTTTGTCGCATGCAGAAATAAATAAATAAAAATGTTTTCTCTGTAGCAGTTCACTGATTTTGTCAGGGAAACACTGGAGTACAGTTAGTATCCGTTTTGTAGCAAGTGACTTATTTCCTGTTGTAATATTGACTTTATTTTATCAAAATGGGATTGTCGGTTTAGCAGAATTTAGCTCAACTGGCACAGCAATCAAATACATTGGATTAAGGGGGGATAATTTGCACATTGTTTACTCTGGATGCAAAGGGGACATAAAGGGGACATGGTGGCTCAGTGGCTAAGATGATGTTGAGCTTGTCGATCAGAAAGGCTTATATGCCTAAGATGGGGCTAGAACTCACAGTCTCCTGGTGATTGGCGCAAAGTCACCCAGCTGGCTTTCATGCCTAAGGCAGGACTAGAACTCAGGGTCACCTGGTGATTGGCCCAAAATCACCCAATTGGCTTTCATGCCTAAGGCGGGACTAGAACTCACCGTCTTCTGGTGATTGGCCCAAAGTCACCCAATTGGCTTTCATGCCTAAGGCAGGACTAGAACTCACAGTCTCCTGGTGATTGGCCCA